TTCCCCGCTCAGAGACCCAGGTCGTCGCACGCATCTCTGCTTGTCTAGCTGACATCTCTCAGTGGATGTCTGCTCACCACCTCAAGCACAACCTTGACAAGACTGAACTGCTTTTTCTTCCGGGAAAAGATTGTCCCACCCTTGACCTAACAATCAACATCGGCCCCTGTTGTTTCCCCGACTCAGACTGCAAGGAATCTGGGTGTGACCCTAGATAACAACCTGTCCTTCACTGCAAACATCGCTGCTACAACCCGCTGCTGCAGATACACGCTTTACAACATCAGGAGGATACGTCCCCTCCTGACCCAGAAAGCGACGCAGGTTCTGGTCCAGGCTCTCATCATCTCACGCCTAGACTACTGCAACTCCCTCCTGGCTGGTCTACCTGCATGTGCCATCCGACCTCTGCAGCTCATCCAGAATGCAGCGGCTCGTCTGGTCTTCAACCTTCCTAAATGTTCCCACACCACACCGCTCTCTTCACTGGCTTCCGGTAACTGCTAGAATCCACTTCAAGACACTGGTACTTGCGTACCATGCTGTGAATGGATCTGGCCCTTCCTACATCCAGGACATGGTTAAACCATACACCCCAGCACGTGCACTCCGCTCTGCATCAGCCAAACGGCTCGCTGCACCCGCACTGCGAGGGGGACCCAAGTTCCCATCTGCAAAAACACATCGGTTTGCTATCCTGGCTCCAAAATGGTGGAATGAGCTCCCCATTGAAATCAGGACAGCAGAAAGCTTACACATCTTCCGGCGCAGACTGAAAACTCATCTCTTTCAACTCCACTTTGAGCGATAGAATGAAAAACAAAAAACAAAACATAAAAAAATAAAAATAAAAAGCACTTGTATACTAACTAAGGACTGGCTTATCTAAAGCTAGTTGAGTAGCACTTAAAATGTTTTGGCTCTATGAAACCTAATGTACTTATATGATTCTGTTTTCTTCAAGTTTGTCTCTTCTTGGTCGAATGCACTTATTGTAAGTCGCTTTGGATAAAAGCCTCAGCTAAATGAAATGTAATGTAAATCAGCCTTTTAATTGTAAATTCCATTCTCTTAATGTCATTTCGTCCAACGTTGTGGAATTAGAGAAAAGGGGCTTCTAAACGTGATTTTATGTGGGGTGGAGGGAGTTACATAGTTAAACATAACATTGGGGCGTGTGATTGTAGTGGGTGGAGGTGGTGAAATGAGGATATCCATTTTGGAGTTCAAGCTAGTATATTATAGTTAACGTTACATAATAATAAGGAAGAGAGCTACTTTTGTGATACATCGCTATTGATATGGATTTAGAGTGCATATTTGAGACTTCCTAACAGTAAACAAAAACGTAATTTATGGGTGAGTGTTTTTAGCAGAGCCATATAAAGTCCTTGTGATTCTGTTGATTATTACCTGTCTGTATTATGTTGCAGCTCAGCTGATTTTGGATTGATGGCAAAGGGAGAGGGACCTAAGTGAGAGTGAAAATACAAGGTAAGTTTAAAATAGGTCAGTAATTTCCCATCCTATAGGTTGCTAAATGTATCTAACCCTTTCTCCTGTCTTTGTCTCCCTCTTTCAGCACAAGAACCCCAGGGGGATTCAATGGAGCCTGAAGACCTGCAATGAGACCCTCACCCTGAGCCTGAGTCTCAACTCCCAGAGTTTTGCAAGCCTCTCCCTGTTCCTTATTTTTATGAAACCAGACATTAAGCTTCCCAATGGTGTGGTCTTCGTTTTGTGAAAAATATGATTACCTCACATATTTTGTTGCTGTTGTTGTCTTTTGTGATAGTTAAATTGCTCCTGCTGACTTGCAATGTTTATTGAATTCCATTTATTTACAATGGATGTTCCTAAAACAACACATTTAACATCATCATCATGCTGCTGCTGCTAGTCCTTTGATAGGCACCTGTCGGTCTCCTGTCCTTTCTGAAAGTCATAAAGATTACATTAGTCATTTAGATTACTTATGTCCTCAAGTACCATGGGATTACTGAAACCACCATGAATTAAAAAAATGGTAGAAATGATTCTAATCTGAATTGTGAAACATTCCTTACCATCCCCTCCCTCTAAATATATCAATAAACATTAGGAAGTGATGCTCCTGACTACCATACCTGTTTAAGAAGATAATATTTGTTTTAAAGAATTCAAAGCAATACACAACAGCAACAGGCTCTTTAACCAAGGCAATGTTAGCCTAACATGTATATGTTAACAAGGCAGGTAAGATAGCTGTTCCCACTATCTATGTATATTTTCTACTTTTTGTAAATGCTATTTTATTTCTATTTGAGATGTTTACATTTTGGATTGTTTATTTCTAGTCTTTTAACTGTCTAATGTACAATGCCTTGTCTTTTGCTGCTGCAATGCAAACATTTCCCAAATTGGTATCAATAAAGTACTTCTTATCTTAATCCTCAAATATTAGCGAATTTAACTTTTTTTTAAATGACATATTCATGTAACTACATACACATATCGATATGTTGTAAACATATTACAAATCAAAACCTTTATTGACTACTAATTACCAAAAATCGCAGTTCTATCTCCTTATTAGATATTAATGCATTCAAATGGCCAGCCACAAACTTCCGGGAACTATCTGAGTCTCCATGAACCACGTGACGATCAAGCATTTTGGTATTCGTCTGTCGCAACTCTTTTAGTTATAGGGCATGGGGAAGGGTGTATTCCAAGCTTGTTATGTAAATAAGGCTCTTTTCTTACATTTGTTAGAAAATGTTTCCAACTTTAATTGACAGAATTTATTTAAAAAGTGGGCTTATTAACACGTGAATTATACCGTGTCATATATGTATTAAATATATATCTAAGAAATACAATATAAGACAAGCACAAGTTTCAGGTGTGGGCCATGTTCCATTATACTTTTTGAATTTGCTGAGGGCCGATTCAAAATGGCCCCTGGGCCGTAGTTTGGACACCCCTGCTTTAGATGAAAATAAGGAGCCACTCCCCACGCCCCTCTTACCCCATTCACACCAACGGTGTTTCAGGGCCGGTTCCGAGCTGGAGCTTGAAAAGCACCGGGTTTTCCTGTTCACACCGCAGCGGAGCAGCCTCTAAGCTCCGGAATCCGGTTCGTTTCGAGCACCAAAAAGTTGTCCGTCTAGAAGCAAGAACCGCATACGTCACGCTTACGTCGGAGGGGGGCGAGATTAACCTGAGCTAACAGTTAAGGCGAGTACGGCAAATAAAAGTTGTAACCAGCAGTAGCGCTGAGCAAAGTGACTAGAACGCAACCACACACTTGTTAAAAAAAACACACTTTATAAAGTCAGGCAACACTAACCAGGCTTCGTGTGATTCTGTTTATTTGTACCTTACTTTGACCATCCGTTCGCTGTTATTGATCATTGTGGAGAGCAGGCAGACGTTTTGTTTGTTATTATAGCAGCTATCGGATGGAATCAATACATGGGCTGCACAGGTTGTCATGTCCGACTATCACAAGTAGAATCATAATGAAAAATACGCCGGTAAAAAGTGCCTGTAGAAAACGGCTTAGCAAGTAGTCAGTTTAGCTTCGGTTGCTATGCTAACATCACGCATGTTATAAAAGAGAAACTTTCATAACAGCGTTGTGATGCCAAACAGCGTCAATTCAGACTGACACACATTCACTTAAGGGGAACTGGGGATATGTATCAGCTGCTTGTGTGACAGTCAGACAGTGAATACTTTAGAGCCGTGTGAGCTAACCCGGAGCTAACGGGAGAATACACTCGTGGAAGAGCAGCCGGCCAGCACTGCAGCGGTCGGTAAATGCCGCTGAAACACATTAATAAACAATGAACCACGGCACTCTGGAGAAAAGTATAAGGTTGGAGAAGTCGTTATTTAATTTAATCTGGCTTCGTATGATTAAAAGCAACACGATCATCGACCCGACGCAGTCCCCGGCCCGTTGTTGTTGTGAGCTCCGTTGGGGAGAAAATCAGCGACGTAAGCTGTGACGTCATGACGCAGCAGCGGCAGCACCAGTCGGGCTCTGAGCGGTGTGAACAGAGCGGGAGCTGAACAGGGAAACCGGAGCTGAACCAGAAAAGCTCTAGCACGGAGCTAGAACGGGAAAAGCCTTGGTGTGAAAGGGGTATCTGAGAGATATTTGGTTAAAAAGAACACAATGGTGCTCTCGAAGGAGATTCAGGTGATAAGGTGGGGGGGGGGGGGGTAACTGTAACAATCAACTTTAACAATCTGTAACAATCAACTTTATTTACATTAAAGGGGACCTATCATGCAAAATGCACTTTTGTACATCTTCTCTACATGAATATGTGTCCCCGGTGTTCCAGGGAACTCACCAAGTGTCAGAAAACACAACCCTCTCTATTTTCCTCCATACCCAAATCTCTAAAAAAGGGGCTGCAACGGATCTGATAAAAACTGATCCAGATTTGAACACTGTCCTGACGTCAGGACAGTGGCGCTACGGCTATTGGGCCAACTCCACCAATCAGGAGGAGACAGCCACGGCCATTGCCTTTCGAAAGCGCTGTAGACGCTGTAGTACATATGCCAGGCCTGTAGATGGTGCTGTTCTCACAGAATCTGCCCTTGCAAAAACAGGGGTAAAACATGTCAAATTGAGCAAAATGAGGCATGGCTAAAATGCATGATCTGTTTGGTATTTTGAAAAAAAAAAAGTATAAATATGCCTTATATAGGTATGGTCCTACACTATATTATTCAAATATAGCATGATAGGTCCACTTTAAGTAATCAGTAAATAGTCATATTCAAAACTGTTGGTGTTATGACAAACGATCATTTGAAATGATGGATATAATATAGATGAAAATGACATGGGGAATGGGCTTTAGTATAACAATGTTGATTTGATGCCTGACTGAAACATGTCTCTAAATAACTTGTTCAACCTTTCTTTCACACCATTTCATTTGTCCACACATGACACACAGAACAGGCTGCAGACCCAAAGAGTAGGTGATACGTACCGGGCTGGCCCACAGAGTTGAGGCGGGTCATGAGGTGGCGGGCGTTGGGCCGCAGCATGTGCACGTCTGACAGCACGGTGTCATGGTGGAAGGTGATCCGGTCCATGGCTCAGAGCTCATGCTACAGACGAGCAGAGCAGAGATCTGCTGTCAGTATCTGGAAACACAATCACTTCAATTCATGCAACCCTAATCATGAATGCAACTTAAAACGGCACAACAGGCTGGAGTTGCTTTCATATTAACTATCAGATTGTAGGATTCCTTTAAAAGGGATGCATGTGTAATCTAAACTCAAACCTGCAGGGAACCAACAGTAACTAACAGGTAGCAGCAGTTCTGGTGAATTAGCTTGAAAATGTTTTAAATAAAAGGTCCCATGTCATGGCCATTTCCACTGATCATAATTCCATTGTTGAGGTATACTAGAATAGATTTATATTGTGCAATTTTTCCAAACTCACATTGGTTTCTCAATCAGCATCTCTGTAAACTACGTGTATTCACTGAATTTCACTCTCTGCCTTTAACGGCTCGTTGTAGCTCCAAAAGCTCCAGCCCCCACCCTCCCTGTGAGCACAGTGTGCTCTGATTGGTCGGGACGTTGTGAATCGCGCTGAGCTCCGTGGAGGTGTTGTTTCCTTGTTTAGGATACACAGTGAAACACAGCCAAATTCATCCTGAGCACACACAAAGTCACAGCCGAAGTAAAAACAATAAGTGTGGCTTGATATTGAGTAAGAAAAAGGTTGATAAACGCTGTGAGAATGGGTCTGCAGAGAGAATTTCGCCGCGATCCCAACTGTCTGTTATTAGCCTGCAGCCAGGGAGGAGAAATCAGCTGAGCTGTCTGCACTGAGTGTGTGTGTGTGAGGAAGTCCGTGGATTGGTCAATTTGGACCAATCAGCGGGGGCTTAACGTAACGGCTCCGCGGACGTAACGTAACGGCTCCACGGACTGGTCCATTTGGTTCCGGGTACCGCATGACCATATCGCGTCATAGCTCTGGGCGTGGCTACTGGGTATCCAGACGTCACGATGCCCAGGAAGAACATGAGAAATCTCCAACGAGGCGTTTTGGGGAGGTCTGTGTTAGAGTTTTACTCCCTACAAGGTGTACTTTGAGGGTTTTTGACTCTGCAGACCGTTTACATGCATAAAAACCCTTCATAACACACAAGGGGACGGGTAATAACCGGAAAAGCATGACATGGGACCTTTAAATAATTGGGTTTATTGGAGTGAGAATTCTTTGCCTAGCACCACAGCATTATGCAGAAACAAGAGGACATGTTTTTATTGACTAGTCAAGTTTGGTTTAGGGGGTGATCAGAGGTTCCTGTCATTGACCTCTTTCTTCATGTATGCTTGGGAGAGAATTGACTAGGGGTGTGGAATACTGTGCTGGTCCCACACAGACAGAGCCAAGGAGGCTCACATTACACTGACTCTGACAGTGTATGCTTTTAAATAGAGTGGTTAATCTCTAACACCAACAGACAGGTGGCTGTCACTTTGTAATTTAAATCCAAACTACATTTTGAACTTGGAAAAGCACAGGCTGGTGGTAAAATTACACAGAAAAGTAATTCATAAAACAAAGAAAAGCAAGCTCTGAATATTCATGACAAACTATGCTAATAGGAATCAGAAAGCATCATAAGAACTGGCTTTTAAGCAATCAAAAATGTGAACATTTTTAACTGTATCATAGTATGATAGTATTTCATCTGTTTGCATGTTTGTCTGTTCCTATTTATTGTTGTACTGCTGTTCCTATTTATTGTTGTACTGCTATTTATTGTTGGACTGCTGTTCCTATTTATTGTTGTACTGCTGTTGTCTGTTGTATTCTTTTTAATTATGTTTTTATTTCTCTAGTCTTGTTGTGATTATTTAACATCTTGCCAAGGACAACAGTTGAAAATGTGCCTGCTGGCTAATACTGGCTCATTTACAGCAATGTGGATTCTGGCCTTCTGGATTCTGGCCTTGGATTCTGGAATCTGGCCTTTAAATAAATAAATAAACAAACAAACAAATCTGCCAGCAGAACCTTTGGAGAACGACAGATCTGAAGTCAGCTGGGTTAGTAACCAGCTTCATAACCTCTGGAGAATGAAAAATAACTACTAGTGAAACTAAATGTGCATGTAGCTTAGATAAAAAATAAAATACCTTTTGTTGCTAACTCTAAGAAGGGGATTTTTGTCTGTTTTTGAGGGCTATACTTAAACTAACCTCTCTAAGTTCTGGTTTGAACTTGATTTATTTTAAACGCGACTCAGCAGGCTCACACACCAGAGGTGAAATCCATCTCCTGCAACAAGAAGCTGCGCAGTCCGAAAAACTCCCCAGCAAAACGCATTAACAAGTCAGCAAAAGACTGGGGTTTGTAGATAAGCACAGTCCATAATTGGCCGCATGACTGTGGCTGGGGAATATGAACTCATTTGCTGCAAACATTTCACAATGGGAACAAATCTGAAGAAAAAACTCTTAAAAATGTTACATTTTCTTTATGGATGGTTTATAATTTCATCATTGCAGTAGGTTTACCACCACTAGTAAATGCAGGAGTCCTGGTGTTACATTTTCTACAATTTTATTTCTTCAAGACCCTTTTTCATAGATTTTAGGGTTAGACCTACTGTTACTTCATCTTCGGCATCAGTGACACACTCACATTCAATACACAATGATTTAAGCAGAGATGATAACTCTGTGAGAATACAGCATAACTAAGATGGAGGGGAACAATTAACCAGAAGATAAATTCAATAAATGACTCACCCAACCGAAGGATTAGGAAAGTAACTCTTAATAATAATAATAATAATAATAATAATAAATTACATTTATATAACACTTTTCCTGGTGCTCAAAGCGCTTAAGTTACAGTACATTAGTACAGTCTAAGTTATCTCAGTGGGTCTCAAACGGTTTGGTCACGATTCATGTAAATAAGTATTTCTGAGGCACACGTTTATATGAGTGATTTGTAAATATCCATAAAGAAATAGAAAATCGGTTTACAGTTCTGTTTCATATGGGTATTGAGAGGTGTATCCATAGATCTCTTCATTTTGCTCTCAAAGTGCACCAGATTGATGCATTTAATTTCAATATTTAAAAAAATCTTGTGTTAGCTTCACAACTGTATACAGTCTGCTAACACTGCTGCAGCTAACAGACAGTCAGTATACAGGCGTGAAGCTAACAGACAGTCTGTATACAGCAGAGTTCCCGTTAGAATCTTTTTTTGCCGGTCAAAATGTCCGTTAAAGTTGAAATCTTCCGGATAAAATTAGAAAAGTGCCGGTCAAAGGTCTTCTTTGTTATTTATTGAGCTTTAAAACTAATTGATATGATTCGATATTAAACAAACTAATTATAGTAGATTAACTACATTATTCCAAAAGTGTACAGTAATTTACACACGGGAATAACGGAGCGCTCTCTCCTTCTCCTGACAGCCCGTCAGTATCATGCAGCTCGCGGATCCAGTAATGAGTGACCCGACAGTAAACTAAACATATCTATAACTAGTTTTGGTAGTTTGAGAGGTAATTAAAATAGCTACGTGTGATATTCTAACCTGAAGTGTGTGTTTAGCTCAGATCACCGCTGCAGGTGATCATGCAGAGCAGCGTGTCGACTCGTCAGCAGCAGCTGATCTCTCTCTCCCGTCAGATTAGACTTTACTCGCGTTTATGTGCATATCGATCAGATCCAGCTAGTTCTAGCTAATGATATGACTACCTGCTTATTAAAAGACACCTACACAATAAGCGTCGCTATGCAACCGGGTGAGGCCGCAAAGTATAGCGCAGCATTATGCATTTGTTTACATGCCCACCGGAACCCCGAGGCATTACCAACAGATCAACGCACAATCAACCCATACAGGACATCTCTTTCTCCACATTAAGTGTTAGACACATAGACTGTATATATAAAGGTTAGACATTAGAATGGACTATTCTTGTCTGTCACATACTCTTTTGTCTGTCACATATTATTCTTGTCTGTCACATAAGTGGCGCAACTGATGCGGTATTGCGCTAAGGGGAAATTATTTTGACATTTTGACCGGAGAGATTTAGATTTGCCGGTCTTCAGCATATTTTACCGGTCATAGTCCGGTAATTACCGGCTAACGGGGACTCTGGTATACAGGTGTGAAGCTAACACTGCTGCAGCTAACACAGCTGATAGCAAACACACAACAAAGCTTACCTTTCCGATAGCAAGTGCAGTCTGTGCAGAAAACACACCCCGTTCTCTTTACAGATCTAAGCACACACCCCCTCTGTCATTGGTCTGAAGCATGGCTTAAGCGGTCTGAATAGTCCACCCTCGTAACTTGTCCGGGCTGCAAAAATACAAATATGTGTTCCGCTTCGCCAGACTTCCGTTCCGCCGAATCAGAATCTGCTTTAATGCGCAATTACTAATAAAAGGCACACAGTGATCTCTGCCAGAGCAGCAGCACTGTGTTCCTGTTCCACACACACCATACATTAATAACCCCTGCTCTCTGTAGTTATTCTGTGTCCTGCTGAGCGGACCTGTTCTACCGGCAGGATGCCTTTATATTATTCCTTTAGTTTTTTATTCACTGCATTTATTTATATCCTGCATTTTGAATTCATAATCTAATAATCCAGGATATGACTATGGTGTTTTTTGAACACTGAAAAGGCTTAATTTTCTCAGGAAGAATTACAACAACTGTTGTTAAACCCAACCCCAGAAATGGTCAGCTTGAATGAAAGTTGTATGTGGTCCGTTAAATCAGGGGTTCCCAACCCCCGGTCCGCGGACCGGTACCGGGCCGCGGAGGTGTTACTGCCGGGCCGCGAAATAGCTGTGAGTTTATCGTAATATTTGCAGAATTATAAATATATAAAAATATTTTATCATAATATTTTTTTCAAAAAGTGTTTAATTTTCGCACATATGCCACCAGTCATATTATTTCATCCAGTAGCTAGTTAATCTTACACCAGAAAACCGTTGAAAATGGCTTTTATGATGTTCCGAGGGATTCGGCGGCTCAGCCTAAGGTCTCAGCCTCTTGTGCGCACGAGCATGTTACCGGTGCGCCAAGTAGGAAGAGGAGCGCACAGGAGACAACCGTTTGATTGCAGACTGTTATGTTTATGTGGGGAAATGGTGGTGCATACATTATTTGAGATATATTTTTGCCTTTTTACGCACCGCCTTCGCTGTGTTTAACTTAATCAGAACAGTTTAAGAGTGACTGCAGGCTGCTACGTGTTAACCACACACACATCTACACACATCGAACTGCCCGATTACTCCCCCTTTTATTAGTTTTATGAAGGAGATGTCCAGTCAGTCACCAAGACGCATGTGTGTGTATGTGCTCTGCTCAGCTCAGCTATGTGTTCGGTGTGTTTGTGTCTGTCCGACACCGGCATATATGCGGCTGTTCCCAAATAAATTAGTTTAATCTTAATCTCGATGTAGTGCTAAACTGTCGGGAGTGCACCGGAACGAACGACACTATCATAATATCTTCTGAAAATAAATGCCAGTGTCACACACACACACACACACACACACACACACACACACACACACACAACACACACACACACACACACACACACCCTGGCGACCGGACATCTCCTTCATAATGCACCTTCTCCTCGTTTTCCCAGCATTCACTGGATTAAAAAAAAACAACACCGGTTCTTTTTTAAACTTTGTTAATATGTTTTGGATGCATATTGTTCTAGTATTTGTTCAGGCTGTTACATACAATTAGCCTCTGTTGCTACCTGCTGGTGGTGAGTAAATATTAAAATCAGTTAAAATTGACAACCGGTCCGCGATTTTTTTTTAATGTATCTACCGGTCCTTGGCACAATAAAGGTTGGGAACCCCTGCGTTAAATCATTTGAAAACAAAACAGTATAAACTGAGGAGTGATTCCCCTGAGTTTAATGTGTTATCTTCACTCCGCTGTTAAACTGTACTGATGTTAAGATCAGCGGAAGTGGATACGCTGTAGCGTCCAATCAGTGAGCGATACACAGTAAGGGGGCGGGGCGAGCTGCTGAGGATTTCCCTGACAGCTGGGCTGCATCTCACTTCTCTTAAATTCAATCCTTGCGTCCCTCACTTGCGTCTTTTCCTTTCGTCTTAGTCCCTCCCACCAGGGAAGCATGGAGAGACGCAAGGAAACCACGAGAAGGGAGAAGAAGCAGGGAAATGAGTTTTAAGAGCAATGGGACGTCCTTTCCTCTGGAGCATCACGTGAAGCGACGTCCGTTTGTGATGACGCCACACAGCTGATCGTCTGACAGCAGCCAGCTCTGTCCCCGTTTTTTTCACAAACACCCCCGCCTCTGTTAGTATACATTTACTGACATAAACATTTGTATCATCTGTTGTAGACCCAAATACATTAAATAAAATAAGAACTCATTCTCAAAAAAGATAAACGCAATTCTTAAAATGTATAAACGAACAATAGTTAGATTAATATTGATTAGAGTGCACAAAAGAATGAAAATTGTTGAGAGTAGCAAAAGAGATATGTTATCTATCAAAACCCAGTTAGATTAACATTCATTGGATTGTCCACTTTGTTGTTCAGATATATCACAAACTAAATACATTAATTGAAACAAAACATTGTCCAATCAGTGAGCGATACACAGTAAGGGGGCGGGGCGACTGAGGATTTCACCGGAGGATGGTCTGGTGGTTCCTCGATTATCGCTCCTCCGTTATCGCTCCTCGATCCTCGGTCCTCCGGCACAAATAAGGGCAATGGGACTCAAGATGGCGCAGAAAAATCAACTTCCGGTGATACCGAGGACGAGGAGGCTTATGAACGATTATGAACGAGAAATTATATCATGAAAGTTACGGTGCTTATTAAGCTTTTTAAAACGTATGTGGTAAGTTGCCAAAGTGCTTTGTTTTGAACATTCATCAGTATTATAATCAAAAAGAGAAATATGAACGTTAGTTTTTACTGAAATGATCAAATAAAATCAACATTTCACAGTCTTTACTGAGCTGTGTGGGGTTTGTTCAACTTTTAAAAGATGTTTGAATGGTGATATACACAGTGATAGATGTTAAGGACTAACGTTTATAATAAATACATTTGTATTGATTTTAAGATCTTTTCATACAGTCATACGTATTGGGATCATTTGTATTAATGTGGACCGGAGGGAGAGGGTGACGAGCATAAGTTTCACTTTCCTTTTTTATTTCAATTCCAACTTTGGTCATGAAGAATATGTTTCTCTGTTGTCCCCGTTCATAAAGCATAAAACAACAGCATCAGAGCACGGTGCAGAGTCTCTAGATGAGTTTACAGTAGTCCCTCGTTCTTATTAAACATCCATGTTGTAGTCCGCTGTATAGAAAACTGTAGTTTCCATAGTTTCCCCACAGCAGCAGACGCACATTTATGACGTCCGCTGGCGCATCATAAACACGTGGGATAGTGAAAGTGCAGTCGGATTCTCTAAAGTACCGCAGTCTCTTCTCCTAAGTCCTTTTGAATTCTCCTATCCACTATCCCTTAACCCCGTGACGTTTCACTCAGAGGTCAAGGAATAGACGATAGGGTTAGAATTTAGGAGCTGATTTTTGGACTATTCGACCGCAACCATGGTCTGGTGGTTCCTCGTTATCAGTCCTCGCTCCTCGATCCTCGCTCCTTTCAGAATAATATAAACTAATGTTGTAGCAAACACCGTGGTGGTGGCTTAAAGCCCACCTCTGCTACGCGCCGTTCGTTAGATGAGCCTGGTTAGATTTAATAAAAGAAGGAATTCAAAACACCGGAATAAAGGTTATAACAATAATCTGATTTTACTGGTAAAAAACAAAACACTTATACAAGTTTACAGAGTACTCTGGACTTCCAGCTTCTACTGCCGTGCGATACAGGTATCAGGACCAGCCAGTCAGAAAACAGGAAGCATTTTACATGAATAAACAACAGTATTCATATCAGAGTCCCCGTTAGCCGGTAATTACCGGACTATGACCGGTAAAATATGCTGAAGACCGGCAAATCTAAATCTCTCCGGTCAAAATGTCCGGTCAAAATAATTTCCCCTTAGCGCAATACCGCATCAGTTGCGCCACTTATGTGACAGACAAGAATAGTATGTGACAGACAAAAGAGTATGTGACAGACAAGAATAGTCCATTCTAATGTCTAACCTTTATATATACAGTCTATGTGTCTAACACTTAATGTGGAGAAAGAGATGTCCTGTATGGGTTGATTGTGCGTTGATCTGTTGGTAATGCCTCGGGGTTCCGGTGGGCATGTAAACAAATGCATAATGCTGCGCTATACTTTGTGGCCTCACCCGGTTGCATAGCGACACTTATTGTTTAGGTGTCTTTTAATAAGCAGGTAGTCATATCATTAGCTAGAACTAGCTGGATCTGATCGATATGCACATAAACGCGAGTAAAGTCTAATCTGACGGGAGGGAGAGATCAGCTGCTGCTGACGAGTCGACACACGCTGCTCTGCATGATCCCCTGCAGCGGTGAGCTGAGCAAAACACACTTCAGGTTAGAACATCACACGTAGCTATTTTAATTACCTCTCAAACTACCAAAACTAGTTATAGATATGTTTAGTTTACTGTCGGGTCACTCATTACTGGATCCGGGAGCTGCATGATACTGACGGGCTGTCAGGAGAAGGAGAGAGCGCTCCGTTATTCCCGTGTGTAAATTACTGTACACTTTTGGAATAATGTAGTTAATCTACTATAATTAGTTTGTTTAATATCGAATCATATCAATTAGTTTTAAAGCTCAATAAATAACAAAGAAGACCTTTGACCGGCACTTTTCTAATTTTATCCGGAAGATTTCAACTTTAACGGACATTTTGACCGGCAAAAAAAGATTCTAACGGGAACTCTGATTCATATACATATTTTGGGGCAGAGATGTGTTGACTTCTTCCTTCCCATTTTACTCCGAAGCGAATCAGAGAGTCCATGGGGAGGAGCTGTGTGAGCTGCTCACTCCCCCAGGTGTTTTTACTGGTTGGATTCACTTCTGGTCGGGTCCAATACAGCGAATCAGAGTTCTGGGAAAAAAGTATGTTTTCTTCTGAGCAGAGCGTGAGATTCGGAAGTACACAAGGACAGAGTCAATCTTTATCTCTGCACCTGTATTCACTCCTTTACTTTCCCAAGGAATATTTCACACAAACTATTCTTTCCCAGACAACCAAACATTGTACACAGATATATTGATGCCCAGAAAGGACCTTGAAAAGAATATGTGTGTGTGCTGGTGGGAGGAGGTGTATGTGTGTGTAGCAGAATATCTGGATC